AGGTCCGGAAGCATTTGGGAGGGTTTGTGCCACACAGAAGGAATAAAACGAGGCCTCTTGCTCAGGCACATCTCTCAGGTGGACGAAGGAGAAGAAGTAATGCTTCATTAGTGCCACTGATGTGGCCAATTTTGGCCCCAAACCCTTTTCACACGTCATTGTATTACATCCTAGAACAACGCTATGGGATGGTACTTGCGTCTTTATTTTATAGAAACAGAAAGTGACAGAACTATCACTTTCTGAACTCAAAGCCTGGGCTTGCCACGCGACCATGCCAGCTCTAAGAGGGGATGTGTATGATCCTGGGCAGTCACTCTGTCTGGGTCTCAGGCTCGGTAGAAATGTTGTTAGAAGTGGTGATTACAAAAATATGTAGTTACTGCCCACAGAATGTGATCTTACCCATCTTGGTCATGCACTTTATCACTATTGATTGTCTCCAAAAGGCTTCGGACATTTTGCAAATCTCATATCCACACTCGCAGAATGGAGATTAGGGTTCACAAGAGCCGTATGTGTGACCTTAGGTTCCCAGGTCATGTCAGCACTGGGGGAAGGGTACAGGTAGCCAAAAATACCTTTGACCTTTCCTGTTAGCCCTTGCGGCTTCTCAAACCCTTCCCCCCTGCCACCTCCTGCTCCCTGCTGTCCTGAGTGGCAGTGTCCCCCTGTGGGCCGTTCAAGGCTTCCCCGAGATGCGGAGGGGCCAGCCTTCCTCCTCCCGGGCCTGGCGGTGTCCACACTCGCCGTGCTACTGTGTCTTTACCAGGTGGCCCTACTTCGTCTTATGGGAGTCTGGCGCTTCTCCCCAAGAAGATGCCATTTCCGCTTCCTCTGTGGTATCGTGGACAGTCCTCCCATGGCCGAGTGTCACCCTTCCTCAGCTCCCTACCCCACCCTTTAGCCAGGATGAATAGCTCAAGGGCAACTCTGAAATACCCCTTGCTCTAAAACTTTCAGAATCTGTGCCCAGCTCCTTTGAGAAAGAGGGAGAGGCAGCAGGTGAGCGGCGTGGTCAAGGGCCGTCAGCTGCCCACCTCCTGCCACAGCATCTGGTCTGAGCTCTGCTCTGCCCGGGCACCTGCCTCTCACCCTCTGAGGAGTCCCTGTCATCAGACCGGCTTTCAGGTTCTGGCCGTTTCGCTGAGCGCCCCCTTGGTCTTCGCTCTGTTGACCTGCCCCTCTGTGACCCCAAACCCCTGTTGGTCCACCTCTCGTCCAGTCCTGACCTGGTCAGTGAGACCCGCCCCCTGAGGACTGGCCCCACTCTGGCCGCTGCTCCTCTCTGAGCCAGTGCTTACTGATTGGCCTTTCCTGCGGCCCCCTCTTTCTCACTTTATGGCGCCCCTTTCCTGAGCTCCCCTGTCCTTCTGGAACTGCGGTGGGAGATAAAGAAGTGTCCATACTAAGAACAACAGCCGACCGTCCCTCTTCTTCAATGGCCTGCTGGTGTCCGTGGACTCGACTCCATCTCTCCACTGGGGCGGTCATGGAGGTCCTCGCCCAAGAGAGTGAGGTCCAGTCTGTCTGCCTTCTTGACAGCTCCCAAAGCTCACGTTTCTGGTGAGATCTGGTGAAGACGTTTGGGAAGAAACCCCTCGTGGCTCAAGCCAGCATGTCTGGGCTCCTCTGCAAGCAGCAGGAAGCCCCTTTCTGGGCTGTTTGTTATTTATTAAAATCGGTTACTGTCCATTCCAGGAAAGGCCTTCCAAAAAATGCTGGGATAGCCGCAGCCTGTCAGATCAAAGGGTGAGAACACAGAAAGCAGAGCCGAGCAGCTCAAGTTGGGGGGCGGGGAGCAGATCCTCTCCTTCCAACCAAACGACCGCGTGCAAGTCACCGAACCACCTGAGCCTTCGCTTCAGCAGCTGTGAAATGACGATGAAAAGAAGACCTTTCCAGTGGTGTTGGTTTAAAGATCAAGTAAAATAATAAACATGTAAGTGTATTGTGAAATGTCGGGCACTTTCTAATGTTAACTATTAATAGTGATATGTATTGCTACCAGCCTGTGATTCCCCAGGATGCTATAGCAACAGAGAATAGAAATCCCGCCTCCGACTGACTCAGCACCAGAGAGATGTGTTATCTCCTGTAACAGGAGGCTCAAAGGGAGATCAGGCTTCAGGGTGGGTGGGCTCAGGGGCTCTGGCTGTCCGCAGTGCCCAGGTCCTTTGTGTCTCTCTGTTCTGCCGTCCCAAATATCAGCTTTATCTTCAGCCTGGTCTGAGATGGCTTAGCAGATCCAGACGTCACCTGTGGACACAGTCCTGTTCTAAGGAAGGAGACACTCTCTACCTGTAGCTCGTTCATGGGGGAGAGGTGGAGGCTGTTCTCAGACCACCCAGCACCTTCCTCTCACATTTTGGCCTATAGGTACTGGTTCGTGCACCCATTCCCGGACCAATCAAGCTCCAGGGTTCACAGGAGGGATGTAGGCATCACCTGTGGGCTCTGGCAGGTGGAGACAGGATGCATACTGGGTAGGCAGTACAGTACCTGTACAGACTGTATTACTGGCTTCATTCTTATTAGACTGTTTGCTCTGGTGGGAGGAACTACTTCTGTGGGCCTGATACAGTCCTGTGCCTCTCACAGTATCAGGCACATCGTAGATGCTTCATAAATATTTGTTGAATGAAGCAAATGACAGGCAATGCGAAATTTGAAGGACTCCTCCGTTTGCCTGCCTAAGTGCAGATGCACCTCCCTGCATCATAGGCACCCCTTGCTGGATACCAGGGCTGCATTTCTAACTTGTTCTCATGCTCCCAGCACCAAATGTAATGTCTTCCACATAAAATGTGCTCCATAAAAATGCAGTGAGTGAATGGATGGCATGTGTTTTATGGAACAAATTATTATTTAGTAATAATAATATCAGATGTTTACATAATGCGGCTTCTATTCCAAATTTTGGGTTAAATAAGCACTTTGTATTAATTCCCATAATGCTTACAAAAATTCTGTGAATTAAGTAAGAATTATCCCTGTTTTGCAGTTGGGAAAACTGAAGCACAGAGGCTTTCATTGTTTTGCTCTGGGCTGTGTAGATGGTTCGTGGGTGGAGCTGGGATTCGAACCAGCTCAGCTTTGCCTCACGACCCGCTTTTAACATGGTGCCCAGCAAAGCTGCTTCTTGCCACTGGCCTGTGGCTCTGTCCCTAGAAGTCTTGGGCTGCTGGAGAGGGGACAGCCTGCCTGGAGAGAGGGCTCTGCCACCTCTCCAGCTGCCCAGCCCTGGCCTTTGTGCCTGGCTGCTGGAAGAGCCTGTAGAGCACGTCTGGAGGGCTTCTCCCCTGGGGGATGGAGGAGCAGGGCGGGTGGGGGGAGAGGGCAGGCGGGTCAGAAGCCTCTTGTAACAGCCCTTCTGGTCACAGCCACAGGTCCCTGCCATGTCCACCTTCCTCCCCCGAGAGCCCTCATCTGCAGGAGCGCAGCTATGTTAGAGAAGCCCGCCTGCATCACCGCTCACCAGTGAGCACCCGACTCAGGCTGCCCCTCTGGCTGGTCAGTAAGGGGGATTGTCCATGGGGCCGCCACGAGGCACAGCTAGAAGGGAGTCAGGCTGTGCTAGAGGCGTGTAGCTGCTGTCAGCTGGCCAGGCCGGGTTGACCTGTTGGTTCAGCTGCAGGGTGTGGTGCATTGTGGCAAGGCTTTCTGCAGAAGAGCCCCCCTCTGCACAGGCAGCCTGGCTCCCCTCGGAGGGCTGAGGGGGGCTGGCCCCCATGTGAGCTTCTGGTTCTGCGTGCCTGACTTGGTCACGGTGTGAAAAAGGGTGCTGATGAAATGATCGCCACCGTCACCACCACCACCAATGTCACCGTCACCTTCGTCAACCATTTATTGAATATTTATTACGTGCCAGACACTATTCTATTATTCTAAGCACTCTGTGTATATGAAATCATTTACTCCTCAAAACGTGAACCTTTGGGTGCCATATGCAGATGAGGAGGCAGAGGCACAGACAAGTCTGGTTACTGGTGAGGGGCTAGGTTTTGCTTCGAGGCCAAGCATGTGGCCCCAGAGCTGCACACCCAGCCGCCCTCACAGCTGTTGCCAGTGCTTCCCCAGCCCGCACTGTCTGCTGGGACCCATTCTCAGCCTTATTTATTCTTCCCAGCAACCCTGGAAGGTAGGAATTACTATTATCCCAGGAAACTAAGATTGAGAGAGGTTAAGTAACTTGTCCAAGGTCACACAGCAACAAGATGAGCTGGGGTTCCAATCCAAGCAGACTGCCTGGGTCCTTAACCACCTTGCTCTAAGCCTCTTATCCCCTTTTGCAAGAAATAAGAGTGGCTTGTCAGCAGAAACAGTCTAATCCAGCTTGTTTCCTATATTAACTCCCCTTTCTGCCTTCCAGTGCTCGCCTTAGGGAAGCTCTTCCTCACGTCCAACGGGAACCTCTCATATTACTTAAGAAGAGGACGGACTTGGCACTGGTCTTTCTTAACTGTGTTCCATAGACCCAGGGTCCCCGTGGCTGGAAGGGGCCTCCTGGGGTCCCTGTGCCCATCTTGCAGCCTCCTGGCAAGCCTCCAACACAGCCGTGCTCTCCTGGTGATGCCTTTCTTCCCGTTTGTTTCCAGGGAGGGAGGGTGCACCCCGCATGGAGAAGGCTGGCCTGCACCCCACTCCCAGAAGGACCTTGCTCCAGCAGTGGCCTGAGTGTGCGGAAGGGCAGGTGACAGAGGGGTCTGGGCAAGGCCTGTCTGGCGGTCACAGCTGAGGAACCCGCCATCCCTGCCAGCCCCGCCCCGCCCCGACTGCCGAACGCAGCCAGCAGCCTGAACGCGGCGGTTCCGGCAGGTGAGTAACGTCTAGTAACCAAATGCTAATTCATTTGCTGTTGCGTTTGAGTTAATTTATGGGGTATTCTCTTCACTAAGTAAATTTTAATTAAGAAGGGTAAAACAAATGAGAAAGTAATTTCCAAAAAATTAGTTTTCAGTAAATGCAGCCATTGTTTTCCTTTGTATCTGTAATAAAAGTTAACGTGAAGTCTCCCCAGCCTCCCGGCCTCCATCTTCCTTGCTTCTAAAGGTGCAGTTGGAGTCTAAGCCAGGCGCTTGGAGGCGGGTAGGTTAGCAGCCAGGCAGGCCCAGGACAGGCCGGGCAGGGCGCCTGCGAGGAACCAGGCAGCAGGCCTCAGGGCAGTGCAGCGGTTCCTGCCCTTCTGGGCGCCTCGGTGTGATCTGCACCCTCCTTGCGCCTGTTAGGAGCCGGGAAGTAGAAGCTGCTGCATGTGCATCTCTGGAAACCCTACCGAGGAAGCAGGAAGTGGAGATGCTGTTAGTATCTTTCTTCTCTGCACGGCTTTCCCAAGCATTGCCCTGGGAGACGGCACCCAGCCCCCAGCTCCCCGGCTCCCGGGAAGGTCATTGCTCTCAGCTCCTGTGCTGCAGATGAGGAAACAGTTCTGAGTGAGCCCAGAGCCCCACAGCCAGGGAGCTGGTCTGAAGCCCTCTTTGCAGCCCCCAGGCTTTCTGCATTCTTATCCCGTCTCTTCAGTTATGCGTGTAACAAAATGAGTGTTGGAATCAATAGGCAAGGCTGTGCTGGGTCCGCTGCCCAGAGCTTGGCATGGCTGCCATTCTGGGTCTGGCTGGGTGGAGAGCTGGGAATCTGGGTGGCAATGGTGGGCATCTACAAGGGGAGGGACAAGATCTGGGGATGCAACCAAGACCCACCCCCCAGGGCAGCCTCGCGCAGCTAGAGCAGCTCTGAGCGCACCACAGGGCCGAGGTGGGGTCCGACTGGGCAGGAGCTCGGAGGAGAGGGGCCTTCCCATTCTGGCCCCACTGCCGCACCCCAGAGCTGCCCACATCCTCCTGCTCCTGGGTCAACATGGCATTGAACGCCTGGGCTGAGCTCCCCCACTCAGAGTGAAAGAGTCAGACACCATCGAGGGGCAACTGGGCAGAGGGGTGGGGAGCCAGGCTGGGACACAGAGCCTCTGCCACACTCGCCCAAGGAAGGAGCTAACGTGAGGGTCTCCAGCTTTTGAGACTCCCGCTTGTCCTGCCGCCATCGCTGGAGGCCCCTGTGAAAGTCTGGATTTGTCTGGGTTTCTCTGTTTAATCCCAAATCTGTCAGGCCTTGTTAACTTTGACGGGGCCTGAAAGGTCTGGTGTTAAGCAAATACTCAGTGACCAGAGTGTTTGATGAGAATCAGACTGAAGCTTAATCCCGAGGTGACGCTTTCCTCATAATCCCGGAGGCTGGGAATGAGGGCGGCAGTGGGATCCTGCGGCTGCCCCGAGCAGGGGGGTTGGGGAAGGAGGGAGTCTGGCTGCCCCCTTCAGCAGGGAGTCCCACCCCTCCTAGGGACAGGCCTTCGAAAGGGAAGCCAGGGCGGGAGGGGTTGACAGGCCCTGCAGGATTCTCAGGAGGGGGAGCCGGAGAGGCTGAATGGTTCAAGAAGGGGGTTTTCCTGGGTGACTGAGCGACCCTCTGCCTCCACTCTGTGTGCAGGCGGCAGATTCAGGGAACAAGAGGCCCCCTGGTCACCACCAGCCTGGGGCGCAGGGGCTCCACGTGGCCACACCTGAGCCTGTCCAGCCAGGGCAGTGGACATGCTGGGCGTGGCGCACTGAGTGGGTGGGGCACCCGGTGGCACCGGCTGGGGCCATGGCCTCTCTCTGCCACCCGCCGGGAAGCACAACATGGTCACACCGCCTGGGCCGCTCTCCGGAGACGGCTGCTGTGCGCCTCGTCAGGGTACCTGATTAAACATTCACGGGGGAAAAATAAATAAAATAAACATTTTGCGAAGAGATGCTTAAGCAATCAGACGCTTCAGGGGGTGGGTTCCTGTGGGCTGATGGGCGTTTAATGTCACCAGTGCCTCATGGGCTTCACACCAGAGGGGCCGATGCCCCAGCCTCCCTTCCTGGAGGCGCCCATCCACCCAGGGAGACTGGGATCTCCCAGCCATTAGCGCGGATGTTTGTCCTTCCTCTTTCCCCTCCTACTTTGCTTTCCTGCGTCAGACGTGACCTGCGCCGGAGGGAGGAGCCGGCTCTCCCAGGGAGGGGGGCTGTGCTAAGGGACCCCCCGCTCGCCTGCAAGGTGTGGGCTTCCGAAGCCTGGCGGACAGAGTCTGATGCAGGCGGAGCAAGTGTTTGCAGGGCTACGAGAAGGAGCCGCCTGCCTTCTCAGAACTGGCCGGTGCTGCAGGGCCCCCGACAGGGAACGAGCGCAGCAGGACGGCGGTGGCGACCTGTCCTTAGCGTGCGTCCGGCGCTGCTCGGCCTGCTCTCGTGAAAGCTCTCCCTGATCCTCATGATCAAATATGTGAGGAATAGGCTGTCAGCCCATTTTAGAGATGAGAACAGTCCTCTGTGACCCGCCCCTGTTACTCCCAGCAGGATCTGAACCCAGGTACCTGGACTCCGGGCATGCTTCCCCGCAAGCTGCCTCCGGATGCCCAGCAGGACAAGTGCTCTGGTTCCTTACAGAGTTTTGGCCTCCAGGGGAGCTCCCAGGGGAGGCGGCGTCTTAGCCGAGTCCTCAGAGACACTGGACTTATCCCGCTAAAGAGCGGAAGGGGCTACACTCTGAGAGCCACGCGCAGGATTTAAATCCCAGGCATCCTCCAGCGCCCCGGGGTGGAGGCCCCCAGGCTCGCTTCTGCCCCTTGGGCAGCTTCCGCAGAAGCGTTTGGCGGCAGCAGCTGGGGCTTCTCTTCCTATGAGGGCTGCAGGGGCCGCTTGGGAAGCTGCCCCACCGCTGCCACGCGCGTGGCCTTGGAGGATACGGACACCCAGGCAGCTGTACGGGTGCTGCCCTAGTATGCCGATTCAGGGAGTGAACCAAGTGTTTGCATCCGGAGCCCTTCTCCCACTGAGCTCCCCTGAGGGGTAGGGGCTCGTCTTCTGGATGGATCCTTCTCTCTGGCAACAATCAAATTCTTTAGACCAGAAGAGTTTTCCTCGCAAATTAAAGTAATTCACTGTGCATCCGTAGCCAAATATATACCCCCGCCCTCTTATTACTGTGTCTGTTTTAACTGCCTCTCTCCATAGCTGGTAACCTGTCAGATAAAGGGTCACTCACTGCACAGAGGGCACCATCCATCAGGGTGTGGGCAAGGCCAGGCAGCAGCACTGAGGGCAAACCGTCATCCAGGTGCAGGCCTGGGCCAGGCGGGCATGGAGTGGATGCAGGCAGGTGGTGGCCTTGGGCTGGACCTGCAGATAACGGAGGGGGGTGGAAAGCCAAAGACACTCCTTCATTCGCTCGTCCCTCCAGCCAGCACGCCGTTTCAGAACTCCCTTTCTGTTCTGGCCACGTTGCCCGGCCCTGGATTTATCCCGAGCCAGACTGGCAGTTGTCTGACATCCCTCACAGAGCTGGCAGGCGGGAGTTGCAGAATCTGAAGCCTCGTCCTCCAGCTTCCAGGGAGGGGCTGGACTTTTCCAGACCCGCTGACCTCTGTTCTGCACGCCATGCAGGGTGGTGGGAAATAAACTGCTTTGGTCTAAATAGACTCTTACAGCCCAAACAGGCTTTTCCTGCGACCTCTTGATTCTGCAGAGGAGAGCAAAGAAGCCCAGAGGATGAAGTACACTTCGCAGCAAAGTGGGGACTTAAACCCAGCTCTCCAGACCCCGAATGCATAGCTTTTGTTCAAGCTGCCTGGCCAGTTGTAGGGCTGAGAGTGTCCTTGATGACAGGCAGGAGAGGTTTGTGCAGCTGCTGGCCAAGGACAGGGTGAGTTTCTTCTGGGAAGTGCTCCCCCGTGGTGCTCCTTTCTGCATTAAGAAATGTTTTCCTTAGGAAGTGGGACTTACCGAGCCGGGTAGTGCTCGCTGTGGACTTCACTTTCTGTGTCTGTCCAGCAGAGCCCATTGAGAGAGACGGGCCCCTCGGAGGGGAGTGAGGACTGCTGCCCGGCTGTCAGGGGCGATGGGGGCTGAGCTGCTGATGGATGGCTTCTGGTGGTGACAGCAGGGAGGCAGCGAGCGGGCGTCAGGTGGGGTGGATTCTCTCTGAGCTCTAGAAGAGCAGGTGTGTGCGCACACGTGTGGGGTGCGCACACGCGTGTGGGGTATGTGGGGTGTGCATGCATGTGGGGTGTGTGCAAGGCACACACACACACATTGCAGGAGGGGACACTGCCCCAGGGGCAGTAGCAGGGATCTGTGGCGTCTCTGCAGAGAGTGACGTGTGCTCTGCTGAGGAGCACCCCCTGGCATTTGGCACCAGCCCATCCCTGGTGCTTCGCCGGCAGGCTGTCATCCCTCCCTCCTGGGGTGATGACTCAGAGCTCTCAGGGTGCTTTCGGTTGTGCATCTCAGGGCTTAGTGGGAAACGCGTGGGTGGGTTTGCATCCCAGCTTTGCTTCTTGCTAGTCATGTGACCTTGGGCCAGTGAGTCTCTCTGAGCCCCGCTTTCCCAGCTGTATCGCAGGACCGCTGCGGGTGATCACAGGACACAGAACATAGCCAGGCACCAAGTGAGCCCCCGGTAGCTGAGCTAATTCCATCCTAGCCTGCAGCCCTCTCAACGAAGGGTCCGTGGGACCATTTTCCAATACAGTGAGATAATGAGTAAGAAAATATTTTGTTAACTCTACTCATCACTCACAAGTGAGTAGTAGTATTAGTGATACGACCAGAAAAAACAATTTCCACGAACGGTGGCTCTTTGTTAAACACAAACCCCTTCCTGCGCGGGGCAGAGGTGGAGCCCAGCTGTGGTGTCAGGTCCTGAGCAAGGAGCTGTTTCCAGTCTGGGGTAAAGAATCTGAGCCATCAGCGTCTCTGGCTTCTGTCCCTCCCTGATGGGCTTTTTGGACCTTAGAGATGTCCCTAACTTGAGGTTAACATAATACGTTGTGAAGTCTTGGAAAAGCTCTGTGCGTCGGTTCTCCCATGTGTAATATAGGGTCCCTGAAAGACCTGTACCCGAGGTGAGGCTAGAGGGGCCTGTGCGCGGGAGGCACCACAACACGCCTTGTACACGGCAGGCGCTCAGGGAATGCCGGCACCTCGGCTTTGGGATCAGAACGAGCTTACAGTTCCAGCTCTGCCACTAACCCCGTGTGGCCCTTTATCTCCCTGAGCCTCAGCTTCTCATCTATGGAGAGGGGATCCTGAGCGAACCTCCTCCTGTGGCCACGAGGAGTACTGAGATCACGTACGTGAAGTTCGTGGTGCCGTGCCTGGGAGATCTGGAACATGACAAGTGCCCCACAAACTTCGCTGAAATGTGCGGACCCTGCGCTGCCTGTAGCCCCTCCCCACGGCTCGCATCTCCGCTGCTCCTGGCCCCCCTTCCACACATGGCCTAGGAGGATGGGCCGGCGAAGTGTCCAGAACCTCTGGGTCTCCAATTCCTCTTTGCAAGCCTGCTTTAAGTGACACTGCTACCTTACAGGTGAAGAGCTCATGATAGTTTTCCAGGTGATTCCACGTCTTTAATCTTTGTTCATCCTTGCAGCAACTCTCTAAGACAGGATGTGTATTATTAGTCTTGTTTTATAGATAAGGAAAGTGACTTGGAGAGGTTAAGGGATTTATCTAAAGTCAACCAGCAAGTTTACTGCATGCTAAGGTCCAAAATTCATGGATCTGCAAGAATAATGCACATTTATTTACTGCGTTGCAGTTACGAAAGCCTTCCTCACACGCTGTCTCACCTGACCCCAGAGAGGTGGGTTTTGTTATCGCTCCCATTCCACAGACTCAGAGAGGTCACATAATGTTTGCATGACTGCCCAGCAAATAAGTGATGAAAGTCAGCTTTAAATTTATGTTTTCTGACTCCATTTGTATGTGCTTTCTTCTCGCCATTTTTCAGCCCTCCATTCAAAAGCCAGCTTATCTTTTTTAAAAAAGTAAAAAACAGAAACAGTAAGACAATGCATCAGCTGAACGGGGTAGCCGCCACCCCCAGGCAGGCAGGCTGCTCGGGGACTTTTATGGCAGCAGCGTAGGGAAGGCGCCCGGCGGGGAGCAGGGCCCCCCCAGCCAGCTCCTGCTGGGGGCTGTGATCAGCGGGCCAGCTCTGCCTGCAGTGCTGCTAATGGGCCACCTGTGAGAGGGACCCGTGCGCACAGGGAATTTATTTAGCCGAACTGGAGCACTCAGAGGAGACCCATGCTTCAGGTGCCCAGCCTGACTCCCGGGGCCAGACGCATCCCCAGGAAACAGCGGGGCGGGCCTGGCCTGGACCCTGCCTGTGACACACGGCTATTTGCTGTGGTGCTCTCCACACATTATGCTAAAAGCATGACAGATTTTACAGGCAGCCTGGGCGGGAACCATGGAAACAGGTTAGGGAAGAGGGGAAGCTGATTGCTGCTGCTGGCGGGTTAGTGAGGGAGGCTGAGCCGGAGGGATATGGCCTCCCTCCAGCACCCTCCCGGCCGCAGCCCTGGAATGGACACCCTCCCCGCCACCCGCTGTCTGAAAGCACCATCCCTTCTAAGCACACGGCCCAGCTGGGGACAGGAGGTGGGAGCAGCAAGGGATGGTGGCAAATGGCCGCTCTTTAAGCCTGCCCCTCTGGGCGCTCACACAGGCCCCGTCACAGTGATGAGGTCCTATGCGCCTCCTCCAGGCACCGTGTGCAGCCCCCACCCGCTCCTCTCCAGCCCTCTCAGCAGCCCTGCAGGGGGGCACCACCCTCACCTTGTGATGAGGGGTCCCGGTGAGAGACAAGCAGCATGAGCCGGGTCAGGGTCAGCAGCCCCCGACTGATGGAACTTGGAGGGCTGAGGACCGCCCGTCACACCTGCTTGCCCCCGAGGCAACAGCACCCCTCGGTGAGCACCCCTCGGCGAGCAGGGCCAAGCAAGGACCCTAAAGAACCGCTTAGGAAAGGACGAGGAGACTGCCATCTGGTGCGCGTCCGGTGGGGGGCCTTCTGAGAAGGGTGGGGACAGCTCCATGCCCTCTCCAGGGGGCTGCACCAGGATGCAGATGGAAGCAGGTGCGCCCCGTGCTCAGGTCTCTCTCTGAGTCCTCACCAGCTGCCCGCTTTTCCTGTGCCTCGGTACAGCCACCACCATGCTTCCCAGGTTCCCAGGTAGATGCTGCATTTACTCTTCCAGTCACGACGGGGGAGAGCTGGGCGTGTGGCCTGGGTTTGTGGCCCGGCCCGGGGCAGAGCGGAGTGGCTGTTGGACAGGGAGGCTGGCGGTTCAGCAGCCACCCCGGCCCCCAGGCCCCCAGAGCCCCCTGTGGCAGTGCTGCCAGAGTTGCTGGAACCTGTCCTGGGAGGGCACCCGCTCCGGACATCTTAGCACAGTCAGTGCCAGGAGCTCTGGACCCCGAGAGCCTTGGGCTTTGCTTTCAAGTGACTAAGATCAGAGACTCACAGCAGGAAGAGCCGAAGTGTGGAGTACTGGTTCCTGTTCAGGAAGGTTAGCCAAAGTGCAGCCGGGGGAAGCCGTGCAGGGTGCTGACACCAGGGGTGGTGGCCTCAAGTGGCCCGTGCAGGGAGTGTGGGGGCAGGTCATGGGGCAGTGCCCTAGCGTGGAGAGATGGACGGAAACCTCGGGTCAGGGGTTTCCTGGAGGTCTGGGGGACATGCCCTGGGCACATCTGTGGGCGGTGGGGGATCGCCCTTTATTTCCTCCCCTGGGAGCACAGTTATAAAAGTCCACACGTAACTCCTTATTCACAAGTTCAAGTTGAAGAAACGCACCACAGCAGGTAGGGCAGGGAAGCCACCGTGCAGGTGTGGGCTGTCTATTGTCTACGTGTGGTGTCTGCTTCTCTTTGTTCTGGAAGAGACATGTTTTCCTGTTCCAGGCAAAACCCTCCACCTGCGTTTAGGATCCCATCCCTCCGTAAACCTGACCAACATTACCACCCTCAGCCAGGGCCACCTTGTAACTTGCATCTCTACCCAGCCCCTGCTTCCCCCCTTCCATCTTCAGGCAAGTTGTTCCCCTCCTAAGACCCTCCCTCGTTCTGCGTCCCTTCCCCTCTGTTCTTTCTCTTTCCTTTCACTGTATATTTTCCTGAAAAGCCGATCAGTCAACATGTGTCATCCCCGTGTTGATCCCATGTGCTCTCTGCTACATGAACATGAGTTTCTACATCTATGGTTCATCTGTGCTGCCATCAGCCGATATTTATTGAGCATCTGCTGTGTGCCTCCCCCACACCAGGTGTCGGGATACCTGACTTTACATTCCCTTGAGGCAGGGCAGGCAGGCATTAACACAGATGACATAGATAAATGCCGGGTGACAACGGTGATCAGCGTTAAGGAGGCGTTAGGCATTGAGCCAGAGGAGCAAACGACCTGGCTCTTGGGCCAGGGCCAGTGGCCAATGGCCACTTCATTGCCACATCACAGAGATGCTTCACAGTCGTGAGAAGACTGTGAGATTGCCTTGAAAGAGACCTAGAGGGCTCCTCTGAGCGGAAGGAGAAGAGCCGTAATGGGGCGGCATGCCGGAAGCCACAGGGTCAGAGTTTTAGGGGTGCACTTTGGGTTCTTTTTGTCTCGAATACTTCCCTTCCCTCCTGTGATTGGGTGCCATTTATTCCTCATTCGAGAAACTCAAACGAGCCTTTTTTGGTGAAGAATTTCCAAATCCCTCCACCGCCATCCTAGCTGGCCTGCCCTGTACTCTACCCTAAGCGGCCCCATGTACAGACTCTAACATCCAGCAGACTGGGCTGGGGCGTGTTTGTCATGTCTGCAGGCCCTCCCCTCTCAGGACTGAGGGGCCCAAGTTGCTGGGCGGGAGTGATTTGGGTCATCTTATGCTCCTCCTGCCCCTGCCATGCCATGTGCACATCTAGCCTCGTAGAAGGCAGGGATGCACGGATGGATGGATCGACGGATGGCTGGAGGGATAGATGAACTCGCGAGTAATTTGTGGACACGACCTCATTCCACAGAGGCGGCTACATGTCACTGAAGGAGCAGCGGGTGGGGCTTCGGAAGACCTGGGTTTGGGGTCTGGCTGAGTCCCTAAGAGCTGTGTCATTGCTGGCAATTTTCTTGCCATCTTTGTGTTCACTTTTCCAGTGGGTGGAATGAGAAAATCCAATGATTTGCTTCCTCAGGCTCCTTTGCACTCTAGATTTCTATTTATTTTCTGTCTCATCAAGGGAGATAATAAGACCATCTCTTGGGTAGAAACAATGTATTCTGTCAGATCAACATGTCTTTACTGGCTGCCCAATGTGAGGCCAGCAACTGCTTGGCAGGGCACAGTTTTATTAAGATAAAGGGATGGGCT